TCTTCTTCCCCCTCCCCCTCCTCCTCCCTTTCTCCTCCCCCCTCTTCCCCTCCTCCTTCTCTTCCTCCTTCCTTTTGTCTGAATTCACCATCATGTGGAGGCTGAGATGAGCGTCCCATGGAGTTTGTCCTCGAGGGAGACTCTGCGTCCATGAAGGAAGGGACTGTGTCCGTCCTGTCAATGCTCCAAGGGTCTGGGGCTTCCGACAGCATGTAACTCAGGAGCAGCCAGTGGAGGGGCTGCACCGGGCGAGGTGAGGGACGGGCACGCGCCCAGCTCTCTGAGCCCTGCGCCCTCCCAGCATTGCGGCGTGTTCGCCAGAAGCAGCTAGAACAATATTTAGGAAACTAAATCATCTTCGGTAAAGATGTGATTCCATCATGGCTGGTACATTCCTTTGCAAATGGTCTCCATGGGGTTCAAAGTTAGATGATTTTAGAATTGCGTTTAAAGTAACGAAATTGCTTAATACCAAATGAACCTTTGGAAGGTGGGCCCTTCATACAACACGCTACGGAGCCCTCATACCTGTGTTAAGAGATTGTATTGTTTTACTTAACACATCTGCATAGATGTTCTCTTATCAAAAAAACAAAAACACTGGACCCTGAGAAACCCAGAAGAAAAGGTTCGGCAACGGGGACCTGCCCAGCCTCCTGGAGTCCTGGTCGGGCGGCTGTGGGTCCGGGAGTGGACCCAGCAGCAGGCAGGACCCTGCACCAGCCTGGCAAAGCCAGCGGTCAGGCAGTGTTTTCTGAACTGAACTGTTTGGCAGCACCAACTCCTCAAGCAGCAGTAGATCAATTATTTCTTGTTTCCGTTGGTGTGTCTGCAGAAAACCTGTATTTTCCTCTAGAAATGTTAATGGCGTGAAAAACATTTTCTGCGCTCTGAGAAGGTGCAGAAGTGAAATTTTTTTTGAGTCCTTGGTAAGTCCTGGGGGAAATTACTTTTAAAGGAGCCAAACATTAGTTTTAGATTTTCAATGTGTCGAGATTGAAAAATGCTTTCAGAGAGATGGTGCTGGGGTTTTGTTTTGGTTGCGTTTTTTCTATGTTTAATGGCTGTGTTTCTGAAGCGTGGGGCCTCATCAGACCTCTGCCCCGCACCGGCTGGCTCCTTTCCTCCACACCGAGCTGGTCCTTCGCTTCTCCGCTTCTGACTTAGGTTCTGTTTCTCCTGTGTGCTCATCTGCATCTGTTGCAGTTTAAACTCTGATCACCTTTGGGGCCTGTTAATTTCTCAGGCTCCAGGATGCTCGGGTTTCCTTGCAGCCAGCCAGTCGGCACTGAAGCCACCATCTGCTAGTCCTTTGTCTCTTGCAGCCCCAGGCTTGTGTGACTCGCAGCCCTGTGTGCCGAGAGTCTTTAATTGGTCTTGAAATGGTCCATTAATCATTCAGTACGTTTATAAAAGAGGCAGGCTGCTTTTATTTGACTAGTGCACAGATTAGATGTTTTAAGATGTTCCCTTCTGGTGGCATCTTAACAGGTGTTCTACCAACTTTCCTTAGTTCTTTTGATGTCCTTTTAAGCCAGGATCACAGTTACCTGCAGATTAATTTCCTTCCCTAGGCGGGCTGAACAAACGATAAATAAAATTTAAAAAAGGCTTCAAGGAAAGATGTGAATCGTGGTGTGGGCACTCGGGTGAACAGGACTCTGGTCGTCAGCAGTGTAAATGAAAGTGCTTCTCTGTGTGAGGCGTGGAGGCCACAGACCTGGTAAAACCCACCAGAAGAGTGGGTTTGAATGCAGCAGCAAAGCGCTTCACCTGAGCGCGTGCTGTTCTGGTGCTGGGGGTGGGACCGGGCCACCAGGGTACGCGGGAGGCCCGGGGATGCTGCCCGGCGGGTTCCTGCAGCCCACGCTTCCTGCCTTGAGGTGTGCAGGTCTTCCGGGATTTCTCACCAGTGGATCAGAGTTTCCTCAATGACCTAGCAAGTTGGCCATTTTAGTGGTGTTTCTGTTTTTCGGTGAGATGTAGAGCTTCAGGAGGTTTACAAAAACACGTCGTGTGTGTGAGAGCCCTTTGACTATAACAGTGCCCCCCCAGACTTGGCTATCTGTGCGTCCCAGTTGCTATTAAAAAGTTGAAATCAAACTTCCCAGCGCTGGGGCCTTGACTCCGCGACTGGTCGTAACTCCCGCCTGCTTTTGCGACCTCGCTTGTTCTGCGTCCTGAGTCCGTTCTTCAACGGAGAAGTATTTTTGTTCATTGCAGGTGACTGAACAAAAATGAAGAGCCTGTGAATGTTCCCGAAAGGACAGCAGGCCGGGTGGGCGACCTAGATTCCCACACGGTCCTGCTGTGTCAGCTCTGACAGTCGTCCGCTCACCCCCAGCCTGCCTTCCCTCAGCCGTGGACGTCAGGCCACAGACTGCAGGCTGTGCTCCGGGCCGGATTTCTGGGACCCTGTTACCAGTCCCTCGCAGGCAGTCCCGGGGGCTGTCATGGACTGGGGTGACCTAAGGTTTTATCTACTCCCAGAGTTACTTAGCCTGCAGCCTTCCTTATAAATGGAGGCTTTCCAAAAGTGTCACTCCCTGCGCACAACAGGAAACCTGAAACAGATCCACTTTGCCAAATATTCTTTATTTTGTCATGTTTCTCCTGTTTCCAGGTGGTGGGTGGGGCCAGGAGTGGCAGGGACAGCAAAAGGATAGGACCGCGAAGGGGAAGGATCATCAGGCCATCTCAGAAGGGCGTTTGGAAAGTCATGCTTAGGGGTCACCGGACATGGCAGACCCCCTGCTAAGCGGCCCCTGCAGATTTGTTTTCCACGTTAGTAAGAGAGTCGTGGACAGATTTTACAGCTGTCCATGCAGCTGCTCGCTGTCCGCTAAACAAACTCAACCGTAAAAGATCTGAATAGATGGAAATCTCTAGAATTTGACTTGAATGTGACTTATTCAAAGGGATCTTATCAGATAGTGGAGGAACATTCATCTTAACATGAAATGAAGAGCATTCATCTTCATGGTTTTTCATTCTGAAGTTTGTAGAGCAAAGGGTTTGAAAGTTTACTGTGGGTGAGAGTTTGGAGATTTTGTTGATTCAAGTATGATTTCTGTTTTAAATGTGTCTATCACAGCTAATAAATAATCATGGTGAGGATTTAATCGTATGACGCAGCGCCCACGAGATTTAGAAGTAATTCCTCCTCGTTGACCCCTGCGTTCCTACTTCCCCAACCAGCCCCGTGTCATTCTGCGTTCCCCGCAGGCAGGCACACGCAGGCTCCTACACCCTCGGAAATCCTTCGTCGTAAATAATTGGAAATACATTCTAGTTACACAGCATATTTAAACAGATTTCCGTGTTTCCCTTGGAATAAAAAATTATAAAATAATTTAAAATTGTGACATAGTTTTAGAACTTCTCTGTCGCTCGTCCGCAGTTCACAGTGAGCCTCCAGGATCAAGTGCTGCTGGACAGACACGCAGCCGAATGGCTCTGCGAGGCTGCGGGCGGCCCACCTCCAGGAGCTGCCTGGACAAAAGCAGGTATCTGTGATTGCGGGAAGAAATAAGTAATTTCTTTTTGTGAGAGCATAAAGCACAGTTTAAACGAGTTACCCTAGGTGTGTTTGTGGACATGGAAGCATCACACAGAAAGCAGTCGTTCATTTAGAAACGTCACTGTCGTTTGCTCTGTTTCAAGCTTCAGCATTCGGGTCTGGGGCCTTCCCCAGGCCCTCCTCTGTGGGGCTGATATTTCAAATGGAATTATTTCTAATAATTCCACTGGTTTTAACATTTTTTTAAAGTGGCAGAATCCTCTTTTAGCACAAAATGAAATTCTAAGTGAAGGGAAATCGTCAGGGAAGCTCTGTGGTAAATGGACACAAGGGAGCAGGGGTCTGGGGGGCGCTTCGCTCTCGGCGTCCTTGGTGCATGTTGAGCCCCTCCCGCACCCGAATAAAGTCCTTGGGCAGCTTCTGCTCCTGGTCCTAATGGATTCACCTCCCAACCCGCCGGTCTTTCTAGAGGCTTTCTTGTTAAACATGTTAATATTAAATCCAAGCTAATTTAATTTTTTAAAAATCTGAGCTCTTTGGTGTAAACTATGTTAAACGGTTATCGAATGGCAAAAATACCAATGCCAAAAGGGAACAGAAAAAGCAAGAATTTGCAAATGTATATTGGGTTTTCTTAGGAACTAAAAATTATGGAATGCAAGATGTATTCACAGCCAGAAAAATGTGGAGCCAGGGACGTAAGGATAAATGGAATTCAACATGCATGAGTTACTCTGGCTCAGTGTATTTGATCCCACATTAAAATTAAAAACCAATCAATCAGACTGCAAGGAGAGATCTGCCACCACGAGAACAAGTACCTCCATATTTGGAAGCGTCTCGAGTTGGCCAGTGTAACTGGCATCAGTTTACGCTTTGTCAGCAATCTGGCTATAGAGCTGTAGACCTCCGCTGGTTGATTCTTAGTGGTGACCATTTACAAAGATGATTGTCATAAGTTTATACAAAATAAGATCCTTTCTCTCAGTTTATTGGTTCCTGTTGGAGGTGAGAGTCCTCTCGTAGGCAGACTCCAGGAGACGGCACTGACCCCTGAGCCGTGGTCCTAGCAGGGCGGACAGGTGGTGATGACTGACTG